ATTCTGTGGCATGAATATACCATTTATTTACTCAAGAAATATTTATTTTGTGTTCATAATGTCTCAGGCACTTTTTAGATAGTGAGATGCAGTTGGGAAGAAAAAGAAAGAAAGAAAAAATTGAAAATGAACAAACAAAAACACGCCAAACCTCCCTTCCTGGAGCTTACATTCTTACAATCAGTTCTCTCACTGAGCGTTTAGTTTACAGACATTGTTTCCAGACTTTTCCTCTTACAAAAACGTTTTATGTATGTCTCCTGAATCCAATCTGCAAAATTGCCTCTGCTATTCCTAAAAGTGGAATTGTTGAGGGTGGGTTAGGTAAATGTTCAACCTTGAAAAATAATGACAAATTTATCAAATTTCCCAGTTTTCCAATACATCAATTTACACTACAGTGCTAAAACTCCTATGAGATCCCGTTGTTTTGTGTTCCTGACAACTCTGGTATTGTCAGATTTCTTCATTTCTGCAAATCTAGTGGATGTAGAATGGTTCTTAGTGCAGACTTAATTTGCATTTCTCTAATCATTAATGAAATCAAACACATTTTCACACACTTTTTGGCTTCTGCGTTTCTTCTGTCTTTCTTCTTCTGTAAGATACCTGTTCATGTCTTTTTCTCATTTTTCTATTGGGTAGTTATCCTTTTATTTTTATTCTAGATACTATGTCTCTGGGGGTGATATGTAACAGACATAACAGATCTTATATACAACTATCCTACATTACTCACTAATTTAAAAATATGTGTGAAATACTTGGTTCTCTATTTAGTGATGGTTCTCTCTTGGTGGTTCTGTAAATACTAAGATAATATGATTATCTTTTTATTTCTGTTCCTTACAGCTTTTATTTATTTTTATTGTTCTATTGTTCTAGCTAACACCTCAAGTTATATATTCTCCCAAATTTTGGTTTCTCTTTTCACTTTCTCTATGATTTATTTAACATTCATTCTCAATTTTAATGTGTCAAATTTATCAATATTTTTATTTTATAGTTAGTTTTGTGTGTATGCGCATCTTGTTTTAAAAGACTTTTCCCACCAAATTTCATTAAGTTATTTTCATGTATTTCCTTTTGAATGTTTTAAAGCTTTGTCTTTCACATTAAAGTCTTTATTCCATTTGAAATTGGTTTTTGTGTATTATGTAAGCAAGAAATCTAATATTGTGGGTTTTATTTTCCTTATAACTAGCCAAATTTCGGGCACCATTTACTGCATAATCCTTCCTTTTGGCAATATCTTGCAAAGACACCTCTTTCATATATAGTTTCTTGGTTCTTCTCTTTTAAAGCTCAGTTTGTAATTACCTGGACAAACATCACACTATTGTTTTATAAGAAAAAGTAGTATCTATAGGACAAGTCTCCTTAATTTTTCTTCTTCACAAGTGTTTTGATTATTTTAGGGCTATTGCCCATCATATAAATTTTAAACTCATCTTGTCAAGATCTGTGATCAATCATTCAATAAACCCGATTAGCACTTTTATTGGAATTACATTGAATTGTGAATTATATCACATTTCCAAATTATGCGGACTTTTAAAATTTTACCTTTTTCATTATTGACTTCTAACCTAATTGAATTGCTGTCAGAGGAGATACTCTGTGATATTGATTTTTAAAATTGATTGGAAATTTTTCATGAAATATGGGCAATTTGTATAAATGTTCTATGTATGCTCAATAAAAATGTGTATTTTCTAGTTGATTGGCTGTCAAGTTTGATAAATGTGCTGTTCAATCACACTTCCCCATTCTCTTTGTTTTCACCTTCTGAATTCTTTGAAGATAAGCTTGACATTTTCATCTTTTCCTTATATTTTTTATCTCTCCTTCATATCATCTATTTTCTTATTTTTGTGTGCTGTATTCTAGGAAATTTCTTCAGATATATCTGCCAGCTTATTAATTCTTCCTTCATCTTGTTTAATCTGCTTTTTGTTCTATCCATTGGGGTAGTAATTTAATAAATATATCTTTCATTTCTAAGATTTAGATGATACTTTATTAAATCTGCCAAGTCATTTCATAGTCTCATGTGAACAGTTCATTTTTAAAATTTACCTTTCATTTCTTTAAATATTTCATATATGATTTTTATATATTCCCTTTTGAATGGTCCCCCAAAATGTCCAAGTTTTGGTAGTCTGTGTTGGTCATTGTTTTTCCTGACTCTTTGTCAGACTGCTCTTTTGCTTTTTGTGTTCTTTGATTAAAAGTGCATATTTGTCTGATTTTATTCCATGTGAATCCCCAGGACCTAAATAGGTGCTGCTTTCCACCAAAGACGGTTTGCTAATGGGACCCTCATGGTTTGGGGAATAGCATAGGCCTCTGCCTTAATATGAGGGGGAGAGGCTTAGATTGATCTCCCCCATCTACTGCTGGCTCAAGGTCTGGTCTCCTTGGAGTGATATTGATGTTGGCTTTTTTTCTCTTGTCAAACCCTGCTTTTTTACTTTGCTTAATATATATTGCTCCTACTCTCTCTATAGAACACAGTTTTTGCTTTGTTTTATTTTTTGGGGGGTAGACAATGGAAAGATAGGATTGAAGATTTTCTTTACTTCCTGAAAATCCTAATAGTGTGTTAAAATTCATATTCTATCCAGAATCTACTTGTTTTGTAACAAGAGGGTTATTTAGCATCTTAGTCAGCTTTTACTGCCATAAGTAAACAAAGTCCAGGATTTTACCTTAAACATTGGGATGTTTGATGGTTCTGTTCATTGACAATAGAAACAGAAGGAGAAAATAATATATGGCAAATTCCATTCAAGACTTCTTGAGTTTGAGATGTCTGTGACATTCACATGCATATGTACAGTCAATAGATGACTATTTGGGCCTGAAATCCAAGAGAGACATGTGGACTGGAGACACAGATTTGTGAATAATCAACATAAGGATATTAATTGATATCATGGATGTGGAGGAGAGTGCTAAAGAGAATGCATAGAGTGAAACAACAGGTCAAGAAAGATCCATGAGAACCACCAACATTTAAGGAATAAACATAAAAGGAAATAAAGAAGTTGTTAGAGAGGTATCAGAAAATTGAGGAGACTGTGTATCACAGAAACCAAGATAGGAGAGTTGACATCTATTCCAAATTCTGATAAGGCAGGTATCAGTAGTACACCTTGGAAGATTAAGTAACTAAGGAGATACTTAGAAATTTAGATATCTATTTAAGTGCTGATGGTGATGAGTCGGCAGAGAATTAGAGACGGCAAATACTGAAAGGAAAGGACATGATGAAATGAGTGAATTCACAATACCTGAGGAGGTGGGATGAGTTCGGCCAGAGCACAGATTGGAGGAATAGCTGCAAGGAAGGGCCCCATCCCTCATAATGGAGGAAAGAAGAGTTGATCAGCAAAGAGTCAAGTAAGCGTGCTGATTTGTAAAGAAATTTAACTGATGATGTCTCTTTTATCAAGAAAATAAAAGATGAGCTCATGGTAAAATTGGGAGAATCATTATGGGATTGTAATTTTAAGTAGAATGGAGAAGGTTTGAAGCTGATACTGAAGAAAATGAGAGAGGCGATTAGCAGTGTTGCCAGGCATGGATGGTACAGCCAAGGATGCAGGAGAGACGTTTCCAGAGCTCCCAGTAGGAGGGCTGTGTTCTTCAGCTGTGCCCAGCTTTGGAGCAGGCAGGGAAAAGGCAGATCTTTTACTATGGACAGCATTGGGGGTTTCCTGAAAAGGTGGCGTGGAAAACAACAAAAACAAAAACTAGAGCAAGAGGCTTGAAGCTATTGACAAGAGAAGTTGAAATGATGGGAGAAAATCATTGTGTTGGGCCTTCTAAGTAGTCAAAGGATAAGAAGAATTTAAGTTCACAGGTACATGGATAGACAGAAATAATGTAATTGAATTTATGACTTCAGAACGAAAGCATTTCCAACTGAAGATAAGGTCCAGGGTATATGGATGACAACTAAAGTGGAGTCTAAGAGAAGATCATTAGATCACTAGGGCTGAGAAGATGCAATAACTGAAATCCGGGGACTTAAATGGACCCCTAGTGTGTTGGTACTTGCAGTGGTGAACGAATCTGTATCATATCCAATTAATTAAGAGAAGGCTGTCTAAGGAACTCTTGATTAACCAGTGAAAGTGTTCATAGTACTTCACTGATGACAAGAGAAGTTTAAGAAAGTTATTTATTTAATAATAATTTTCAAATATGGGATGAATACCCCCTGTGCGTAGAAAGGTTATTTTCTACTCAAGTCCTACCAGGAAAATGGAGTCCTCTGAAGCACAAAAGGTGCATTGAAACACCAACTTCTAAACTATAAAGTTTGGATGTTGTAGATTGTTACTAGTGAAGGTTATAGGGTTTATTTTCATTGGCTATAAGTAAAAAATTCAGCATGTACCTCTTCCTGGTGTCTTCAATTTAGCACCGCAAGGAAGAAGATAGACTCAGTGATTACATGAGTTACGTTCAATCCTTTGCTTGGGTGGTTTTGGATATTTCATAAAAGGAAACAAAATTTTAAATATTCATGCAACCTGTGACAAATTATTTTTGAAGCAATAAATTATTATAGTAAGGAGCAATTAGCAAGTGTTTAGGATTTAGTATTATCAGTTCTATGTGAAAGGAATCCACTCTTTCTTGACATACCTAAGCATGTTCTAAACCTCATCTTTATGCACATGTTTTTCTTCTGGTATGAACTTTTCCCTTTTGACATCATGTCTTTTATAAATATATCAATATAAAATTTAGAGCAAGATAAACAGTAATATGAAAGCTTAACAGCAGTAAATGATGAAATTCAAATATCTAAGGATGGAAATGCTTTTTTTACATCCATTTTTTCCCTCTCTCTTATTTTACAAATGTTATAAATTAGCAAAACCTATAAATATAGTCTTGTACAAAAGTAATTTATTCCCTGTCTTGATTTGAGAGCCTGTGCTTTACAGCTTAACTTCTCTGATGAAATTTCTAAAAATATATGTATGATCACTCAAAGTGTTTGCCTTTCTGTTTCTTACTAGTCGAAAGAGAAGATGTGTGAGAATACAGAACCAGTGGAAACTTCTTCTCAAACCACCACAACCATTCGAGCAACGACCACACAATTCAGGGTCTTAACCACCACCAGAAGAGCAGCGACATCCCAGCTGCCCACCAGCCTCCCCACAGAAGGTGCCCGAGAGATATTTTGCTTTTTTTCCAGAAAAGAGACAAATCACTGTGTTGCTATGTATTGGAGTAGCTCCTACTCTCTAGAAGGAAAGTTGTTCTTTGACAAACTGGGTTTCTAAGGGATTTCTAAAGGGGAAAAAGACAAAACAATTATTGTGGACTAAAAATATGGCTGAGTTTCTTTTACTGTACTGTGCCTTTTATTAAGACATAGCTTTTCCCATTAATTCTGGTTTTTTGACCCCTCCTCCCTAGAAAAAGAAATATACATTTCTTTTCATTTGGCTAAATTTTATAGTAAATGAATTCAACGTTGCAGTCACAAGATGGAAAGGCAAAGTGCGTATGAAATGTTTATTGATTTTGGATTCTGAACAATAGATAATTCTACTCATCTACAATCCTAATATTTTCCTGAATGCAGTCAATAAATTATGTTGATCTCTAACCTATACAGGGATACTGTATATGTCATAGAAAATGTCCTTGAAAAAGTATTTCCTCCTCTGGGGAAGGCAAAAATACTAGAGAGTGTTAATGCATGGGCACGAATAATGGGGGAAGAAAGTGTGTTAGCCGACATTTGATAACTTTCTATTCTGAATGGCACCACTGTGAAGGAGTGGGCAGAAATATAAGACTAGTTGGTCAAGAGTCAGCTTTGAGGGGGAAGAGAATGTTCTTACTTTTTATTTCCATAAGCTTTGCTTTCATTTAAATAGAATGTTAAATTAAACTCGGAACTTTTGCTTTAATTGAAATTTAATTGGATATTATTAGGTTAACTGGAATAAAATGAGGTAGAAGGTACCTGCTAAATGCATTTTATTGCTTTTAAAAACAACATTAGATTTTAATCCGTATTGTTTTGGATTGTTATATTAAAGCCTATGAAAATATTTCTGTAATTTAAACTCTACCATTTAGAATGAAATATAACCACTGAAATAAAAAAGCATATCTGACCTTTTGTTTATTCAGGATAAGATCTCTTCATATATGATATTGGTCGTATTTGTTAGCAATGAATAAGCATTTGACTTTTGGAGTTAAATTTGAAAATATCAATAAATCTTGGCTATTCTAATTTATTTGGAATTTTCTTGATCTTGATTTTAAAAATGAATAAATAAGGTCATAACTGGGGTCTAATCACAATAAGTTATATTAGAAAATTAAAAATAGATGTATTTTAAGTTATAACCAACTTTTCTTGCAGAACTTAAGGATCACATAAGACTTTAAGAAAATCTTGGTCTCACAATCTCTGTAGCAAATTTTAGTACTATATCATGTAAAGCTAGGACTTGCTCTCATTGAACTAGAAATGACCTCAATAAATTATCAAAATCTAATCGTGTTACAGACAAGGCAGTTAGTAGACAATTACTGGTCATAAGATTGATGCACCTTTAAAATTTTTTTCAGTTATAATAACTTTGAATTTCTCTTTCAGATGATACCAAGATAGCACTACATCTAAAAGATAATGGAGGTAGGAATTGACACTTTTCTTTTATAAACATTCTTAGATAATAATTCATTTCATTCATTTTAATATGAGAAAGGACTCATGGACTTCTAAATCTCATGGACTTCTAAATATGGAGTAAGGTTCTATTTTATTCCTTGTTGGTATTTGACATAGGAAGAATTCAGTGGGTTGGCTTGAAATTAATATGGAATCCTAATCTTTGCATTTGTCTATAAAACTATGTGACACCAATTACCAGTGATAAAGTGGAAAATTCATCCACACATCTTGCTATTCTTTGTTGTTCTAGTCCTTGTTATAATTGTATGCATGGTTATCTGCGCAGCTACAGGTACTGAGTATAATTGTTTTTTTCACTAAGTTGACTCATCGACACACTTACACATAAACAAGAAATAGAGCAGGAAATGTGAAAATAGATTATGCTAAGTCTTTTTTATCTGTTATATGGAGCAAAACCCACAAATATTGGAATGAATGTCTTGTTAGTAACATAGTAAATGTTTTTCTAAGACAATTTAGAAAGATCTATAAGAGTACTTGAAAATTTGAGGGGAAAAAAGTTTTATCAAAACAATACTGTGAAAGATATTGACTATATTTTTAAAACTAGTTCTTTTCCTATTAAACTATGTTAGCTCATGTGTGCTTCTGCTCAGAGTATGTTGGATCTTGATAAAAGAGATTATCATTAGTAATTATTTATTCAGCTCAGGAAAAGGGTCTTCTCTTCTTGGCAGCATCTATTATGTAAATGTGGACATATTGTGACATTGATCTGGGCATGGTTTTGCTTTTGCAGTCCCAGATGATTTCTTGAGTAAGTCAAAATCCAATATATACATTGTTAGGGATGATTTTGTCTATAATTGTGGAGACTAGATCCTAAATCACTCAGTCTAGGTTAAGTAATCAATACTTCTGTGCTTTCTTAGGTCATTGTTTACATATATATATATCTTTAGATTTCATATCAGTTCATCTGAAACAGAAGCCTCTTAGCTGTTCATAAGCATCATTTTTGTGTCAATTGTCCATTGTCTTGCATCTATATTGTAGTGTTTTATTTAATTCATTTCTTATTCATTTTTGTATTCATGTGGTAAGTAGATAGCTTTACAGATGTCCATTTGCAAAATGTATGCTAGCTAGAAATAAACTAAAATCCTAGTGCTTGAAGGGACTTCACCAATCCCTCAAATCAGGATTTCCCAGAGCAGGGTGTTAGTAAGTATCATGTGAACATAAGTCTTAATGCTGGGGGTTACCTCATTTTGAGGGAGGATGTGGGATATGAAGTGAAAGGAAGGAGGAGAGTCCCCAAGATGCTTCTGTTTTGTTTGTTACATTTTATTCTTTTTTTTTTTTGATATGGGTGGAGGTAGTTAACATGTGTGTTTGTTATATGTTTCTCTAGGCTGTCTTTTTTTCTTATTCTGTTTGCCTAATATGTTTTCTGGTGTTAACAGGAAAAAACAAAGGATTCCTGTTGACAAATAGGTGTGATGCATTTTGAGTGAAAGAAAAAGGAATTTCCTTGCTGGAGAACTGTTCAAAGCCTTTAATGTTCGTTCATTCATTCATTCATCTATTCCTGCTGAATGCTTGCTAATTACAAAACCTTGGTGCAGGCTTAGGGCTGTAGTAGGGAATAGGGCTTGGACAAATCCCCTGCTTTTGGAGAATATGCATTCTAAAGAATTTTCGAGATGGTTATTAAGATTTCATATTGGCATTTCTCCACTGTTTGGTCATAAGCCCTTTTTATGAGTACTGTCTGATGGGATTGATGTTTTGTGGAATACACTTTGCTAAGCAGTTTTGTAGAATATTACCAATTATCCCAAAGAAAACCCTTAGTTTTGTTTGAAGTATCAAAGAATCATAAAACTTTAAGGATTTTCTTAAAGCAGTGCCTTAGAATTACCGTATGCAGCTAAGAAATCAAGTTAAAGAAGTCCCACAAATTAAGTGTAGGATTTTGGGTATGCCAGAGAGTCAACTATTGGATTTCCAGACGATATTTAGATAATTGATATGCAGCAGGTATTCATCAGAATTCCAAAATATCACAGTAAGACTTCAAACTCTTTTCATGTCTAGAGTGGTTTACAAAGCACTTTTCCTAAAAACATTGAAGTTCAGTTAGAATAGACCAACCTGACCAGTATTAAGTACTCTTCAAAAGAGTACTTAGGGAAAATCACACATTATTTTTTATAGCATGTGTATTAAGTTAGTGTGTGGTTGCTTTTCATTTTGTGGAATGTGGAGATGCAGGAAGGATTGCCAATTTAAACTCACTTCATTAGTTAATTAAGCCTATTGAAAATAGAGTTCAGAATTGTCTTTCCTCTCCAGTTTAACATTTTTACAAGAATGAGCTAATAATGAAGAAGTATGCCTTGTTTAAATGTTTTCTAACATTTATCGAGGTTGATTTTTTTTAAAACACCTAAGCTAATACGTTTTGTAAATTTCCCTGTATTGTTGCAAAGAAATTTAGCACATTTGATTTCTTGATTTAAATTCTCGATTTAATTGGCTGCTATTTTTAAAAAAAATAAATCTTACTGTGTACACTTGAAGTTTACAACATGAAGATACGGGAATACATATAGAGAGTAGAATGGTTACAATAATCAAACCAATTAATATGTCTATCATCTCACATAGTTACTTTTTTGGTGACTAATTAGCAGTTCTTAAAAGCACTTTAGTTTAGAGGTCAGTATTTTTCTGGAAAAAGGATGCCATTTATCAAAGTAGTTAATATATAGCTAGAAACCAATGACTCCGCCTTTCCACACATTGTTTATTTGAGGTATTGGATCATCTTGCCTCTGAGTCTTTCTGGGACATTTCCATGGGTTACAGTAGTTGATTTTCTTAGTGTAATCCACAGCTGACATGATTATACATTCACTTTCCGGGAGACTTTTCCTTCATCTTTGATTTGCAAGCATAAAACACTTCAGAGCAGCTGGACACCTAAGTCACACAACAGGGTTTCTCATTCCGAGGGCCCAGACTGAGTTACAATCTGCTAAGTCACTCTTGATGAATCTTCGATTGTGCAGTGAGTTTCCTGATACATTTAGATTAGGTCTAGGTAAAGCCTCTTGAAGTTTCAGGCTAGTTGTTTGATTGAAGAAGTTTTATTAACCTTTAGGATTGACTGGAAATTCTAAGGTCTCTAAATAATTTGGAGAAAAGAACATGAAAAAAATCAAAACAAAGGAAATGATATCTAATAGGTGCAGGCCCCCTTAATAAAATAGAGGCTTTCGTGACCCTTGTAAATAGCTGAGTACAAAAACTCAGAAGATCCAACATAGACCCAGGCGTGATGGCACGTGCCTGTGGTCCCAGCTATTCAGGAGGCTGGGGCGGGAGGATTGCTTGAGCTCAGGAGTTCGAAGCCAGCCTGGGTATCATAGCAAGACCTTGTTCCTAAAATAAAATTAAATTTAAAAAATTAAATAAG